TTACAGGTTCAAACTTCCCTTATTACTCTGCCTTCAAATTCTCTCATGCTGAGATTATGATCTGATCCATTATATTTCTCTGCAGTTGCTAATGCACTTTTTCATATATTTGGTTTTTAGGTTAAGTACCTTATTGTTTAAGATTTTGGTTGTGCATACCTATTAAGTGCAAATGCAAATACTATTATATTACCACTTAAAAGAATTAGAGTTGGTGTTGCGTGCTGTATTTTATGGTTATCATAACTCTAGCTTTCTATGGTAACCAATGAATATCATTAACCAGCTTCCTTACAAATTGTTCGATGGGTTCTAGCGGCAGCCGTATAGACACACGTCCTCATCGCCCACTCGCAGGCACCATTAAACAAGCCTTTTCCTACCTTCTTCTCACCAGGTTTTCTTCTTCCTAGTTATCACTTGATCATGTATATATATTCATATCTATATGCTTTCATGTGTTTTCCCCTTTGATTATAAACTGAAATATTGATCTTTTCCTTACATTCCCGTTTCAATCATTTGCTCTGAGCGTCGACTGATTGCTACGTGGTTTATTTCTTTTATTGGCTTTGTGACCTTTTTTTTGCTATGATATGACTTATGAAATGAGAGTTTTTATTACTTATCACAAGCCTCTGATAATTAAACTCTACACTAATCAATTGCGAAAAAAAATCTATAGAACGGGCAATTAATATAAAAGCATGTAATGGCTTTGGAAATCTTATGTCGTACTTCTTTGGTTTTAGATTATTACTTTGTTATTGGTTAGTGATTTATTTGTTTTATTGACTCTCTCTGGATGTTACCCTGACCCTTTGAGCATTTTGTCATTATTGAAGATTTTGCTTCTTTGGTTTTAGATTATTACTTTGTTATTGGTTAGTGATTTATTTGTTTTATTGACTCTCTCTGGATGTTACCCTGACCCTTTGAGCATTTTGTCATTAATGAAACAAATAAATCACTAACCAATAACAAAGTAATAATCTAAAACCAAAGAAGTACGACATAAGATTTCCAAAGCCATTACATGCTTTTGAATTAATTGCCCGTTCTATAGATTTTTTTTCGCAATTGATTAGTGTAGAGTTTAATTATCAGAGGCTTGTGATAAGTAATAAAAACTCTCATTTCATAAGTCATATATAGCAAAAAAAAGGTCACAAAGCCAATAAAAGAAATAAACCACGTAGCAATCAGTCGACGCTCAGAGCAAATGATTGAAACGGGAATGTAAGGAAAAGATCAATATTTCAGTTTATAATCAAAGGGGGAAAACACATGAAAGCATATAGATATGAATATATATACCTGATCAAGTGATAACTAGGAAGAAGAAAACCTGGTGAGAAGAAGGTAGGAAAAGGCTTGTTTAATGGTGCCTGCGAGTGGGCGATGAGGACGTGTGTCTATACGGCTGCCGCTAGAACCCATCGAACAATTTGTAAGGAAGCTGGTTAATGATATTCATTGGTTACCATAGAAAGCTAGAGTTACGATAACCATAAAATACAGCACGCAACACCAACTCTAATTCTTTTAAGTGGTAATATAATAGTATTTGCATTTGCACTTAATAGGTATGCACAACCAAAATCTTAAACAATAAGGTAGAATTGGATTTTTGGTTTATATACTTTTTCACGTAATCGTTGACGTCTCTTTATATTACCTAGTCTAGTATTAGAGTCGTACTGAGAATTTGAAGGCAGAGTAATAAGGGAAGTTTGAACCTGTAATTGAATTTAGGGATAAGCCTAGTGTAATATAATGTGTTTTCCATTCATCAACTTCTCTTCTTTGTTAAAAAAAAGTACATCATCAGGATAGCTGTGATACATTTGAATCTTCTAGGGCCAATTGAATTTGAATTAAACAGCCTTAAGACAATAAAATTCTATCATTAATGCAAATAACTGTGCAAGCATACTCAATTAGTTGATGAGTGGAAAGACACTAATTGAACCACATGTATTTACTGAAGATTCTTATTGAGACAATTGTGCTTAAAAACTGATAAGTACAACATTGAGAATACAATGTATGGGTTAAAAAACATGAAGTGAATAGATCACCTATTCATCAAACAAACAGAACCCTCGTTAATAATTACTCTAAAGCATTAGTTTAAAAGGATTTTGAATCATAGGTTGAAGAATTTGGTTTTTTTTGAATCACAGGTTGAATCACAGAGTAGAATTGTGATGTGAAACTAAAAGTTCATCTCCAAGCCACAAAACTTTATAAGAATTCCTATATAAAACATAAATTTTATAAAGTATGCAGAATTCGTATCAGAACATGAATCGTCGTCTTCGAAGACATGTCAAGCATTTAAGCCAAGTAATATTTTAAAACCAATTAATTCCATTGTTTATGGAAGCACTGTACAATCATAGACTTGCTACTAATACAACCAAAAAACACTGTTCAATCAAAGACTAAAATGGATATTCTCAATCCAATCAACCCTGCAAAATGACAAACATCCCTTTCACTGTGTGCCTCGTGATGGATGAGCAGCGGGGTGTTCCCTTGACCTTTGACGTGGTTCACCATGCCTGAGAGACAGGACCAATGTTTGCTAAGTAAAGTGACATGACCGGTCACCTTCTCTCAAAGGTTACCCGGTCGTTTCTTGCGCCCAACCCGTCTCTCTGGTCTTCTAGAATGTCCTTTGTAACATTAATCAACATTTTGGCTATCGCCCAAAATGTGACCGGTCACTTTTTTTAGTGAAAGGGACCGGTCAACTTTTGACCCGTCTCAATCGAAGAGTTAACCTCATTTGGTGATTGCTAAAAGTGACCGGTCATACTTTGACCTGTCCCTTTTGACTGTCCGGGTCGGGTATAAGGATATACTCATCACCCTCCCTTCAAGCAAGGTGAAGGGAAAACATTTGCAATCCCTTCCCCACCCTTCCCCTCCCCTCCAACCAAACAGGCCCTAAAGGAAAAAACAACAATGACAAGTTAATGTTCTTTCGTTACTTATTATTTGTGAAGTAGTAAAGAAATGTTGGGGGTTTTTATTTGTGTGTTTTGATTTACAAAAATATAAGGGGAGTAGATCTAACAGTGGAGCAAGTGTAGGCGATAAAGAATTACAAATATAAAAAAAAAAGATGTTTATGCCTTTATGATTTGGATTGACACTTAGGGTCCATTTGGTACACAGAATTGACGGGATTGGAATTGAATTGGGAGTCAAAATTCTATGGTTTTGATTTGGATGTAATTGCATTCTCCCATTCAGATTCATTTTTTGCACTACCAATTTCAAATTCACATATTTTTGTGCTACCAAACAGCAAAATTGGAATTGTTACCCTCAATTCCAATTATATAGTTTGAATTCCGTGTATCAAACGAAACCTTGTTTCTTGAGCTCAAAATTGTTGACTCATTTGGTTTCTTTTATTCATTTTCATAGGCTTTGAGGGTGTCACAATTGAAGATGGAGCTACATAGTAAGCCTCATTGTCCAAGCTTATCTTGCACGACAATGTTTTTTGTTGGGATAGTGAGGAAAAGAGGAGAAAAGTGAAAGGAAAAAATATACTTTGTAGTATTTTTTTCTTGATGTTTTTTGTAGTATTCTTTCTTTTTAAATTGGACCATATAGGTCCCTATCCTATCTTAAAATGTTCGAGTTAGTCTTTGTACTCAAAATCAGAGCCATTTCGTCCATGCACTATTTTTTGGTTCAATCTGAACATTTTCTTCACTTTTCTCTTATTTATTGCCCTAAGTTTGAGGGCGGGCTAATTTTTTTGTGGACCTAAGTTTCATGCATCTGTAGTATAAAAGAAGTGGACTTTTTCAAAAAAGAAAGTATCCACATGTAAGCTCATTAATATGAATCTTGGGACCATATAAGCATCATTTTTTGAGACGGAGAAAAAAGTTAATGAAATATTGATATGATAGGAGTTGGGACCAGATGGATTTGGAATCATTCTAAATGCCACAAAGTCCATTTCGAAATGCGATTTGAAATTGTATTTTTTTTTGTATGTTATTTACAACTGGAATTCACACAATTACCACCAGTACTTCTCTGCCAATTTGAAATTTTGTTTTTCTGTCTGTTGTTCTCTCTGTTTTTCTATACGTTGTTTAGGGCATGGCATGACAAAATGACAATTAGGGCAAAAGAACAGAGGGTTATCAGATCCCCATCCCGAATTCAACCAGAGTAGATGCCACAAATCATTATTGATGGCCATTTATAAATAATAGAAAGTATAACTAGTTTTTTTTTTTTACACTATGTTTGATGGAACAGAACTCGCAAATAACAGAGTCATCTAAGACTGAGTGGTACTCCGTACTATCTTTTATGGGGAGAGATGAGAAACGGGGAAGTACAATGGACATATATTTATAAATTACAAATAAAACCGGAAAAAGTGAAAGAAACCGGGCAAAGAAAAACTATTGGCCGCAGTTGGAGTCTGTTTGTTGTAAAGAAGCCGATCCGGGAGCAGCATCTAGTTTTACAGAGGCTGCTGTGAATCGTTTGACAGAAGATCGAAGCAAATCTGGACCATCATCATCAATTCTCTTGCACAATGCATCACAATTGCTGATTAACTCAGTCAATCTCCCTTTCAGCTCTCCAAGTTCAACCTGCAAAGAGTGCACTGCCAGTGCGCAATCCAAATGGGAAGTAAGACATTAACAATCAATACTATAATATGTGACATTTACCACAAGTTTCCATTGTCAAATCGGCTAGGTTCTGTGGCCACTCCCTTTGAGTAGCGAAGGAGGACACTGTCCTTATTGGGACATCTACGGTACTCTATTTGCAAAATTGATAGTTCCTAGTCTCCCTTACCTCCCACCCAGTCCTGACCCTAACCCATCTCCCACCCACGTCAATTGTACTCCACAAGTTTAGTTGAGTTTGAGGTTAAAAAATTGACCCCAAAGTCAACTAAACGTGTGGGGTGCAATTGATGTGGGTGGAGAGATGGTTTGGGATTGGGACTGGGTGGGAGGTAAGGGGGGCTAGGAATTATCAATTTTGCAAATAGAGCATTGTACGTGTCCAGTGTCCTCCGTGACCACTCAAAGAGAGTGGCCATAATACCGGCCCGTTTACATATATGATAAAGTAATACCTCCGGATAGATGTTGTGAAGTTGCTTTCATTGCGGAGGCTGAATAGTTGTATCGCTGAAGGAGCTTAATTGCCAATGCATCTGCAACTTCAATCTTGTTATCTATCTCTTCCTGCATCAACCACCAAGAAATGGAATTGTTTGTTACAAGGATTTCTCAACAAATAAAAAAACACTCATCATGCGCCTTGGTCACTTTCATCTGTGTGTGGGTGTGCGTGTCTGTCTCTCTTTCAGAGGACATGCTACTTCCCTGTCAGTGTTTATCTTGTCTATTTTGTCATAGTACTAGGAATGACTAAGTTGTGAGACGAGCAATTGTTGATACAAGGGACGAAAACATAAACGTAGCCGGTGTGCAGTGAACAAGAAGGTAGTTTTGAAAGGTGAAAGGCGAGCGAGAGGACCTACTCCATAGTCACAGAATTCGCTCCCAGAGCGCGACTTCCGTATTGGTACGATTCGTACCCAATCGCAAGTCGCTTGCGATCCAATCGCAACCGGTACGGCGATCCAAATCGCGATGGTACGGCGCTCCAAATCGTAATGGTACGGCGCTCCAAATACCCAGGTACGTCGCACCCATAGCTGGCGGTACAACCTACTTGTGGTGACTTCCTCGACTTCCTCTTCCCAGCAAGACAACGTCGACTTCCTCTTCCTAGTTTGCGTCTTTCCCTCTTCGACGATTTCTCTTTCCCAAGTCTTCGTAAATTGAGTATGTTCCACTTCCCAGACACGTTCCACTTTCCCAATTAAATATTTCTCTTTCCCATTCTCATCATTAAATATTTAATTTAAAATTCAATTCACAATTAAATATTATATATATTTTTATCTATTTTTGTTTACTTATGTTTTGACTTTTGGTACACCGAACCAAATACATGGTACACTGTACCGCTTCGTACCACTTCTTACCAAAATGAACCTACCCCCCTTCGTACCGAATTCGTTACCTCTAGCGAATTTCAGACCCGTACCGCGTACCTGTACCGAAATTATGTGACTATGACCTACTCTAAAACAAGAGGTGGATGGTCAAAAGGTAAAGCTCAGCCCAGTTTTTCAAATATATCTGGCCACCTCAGCTTGCCTCTCACATTTCGCCTCACCTCTGGCGAAATTGGGATGACCACGCTGAAGTAATATTTGGAGGTCACACTTGTATAATGCACAGAAGAGGTAGAGGGGCAATTTATGCAACTCTAACAGGCAAACCAGTACAGTCTAACCAGATACACTTTCCTATGCTTAACCGAGTACACTTTATTTGCTAGGTGCAGCTACCTCATGATTCTGCAACTTTATGTTAAAAAAATAAATCAAATATCCTACCATGAAAGTTTTTACTCATGATGGACTAGGAAACTTCTTTTCAAACATTATAAATTACGCCAAATACCATACTATTAGTATTATAGAAATGACTAAAGATAAGGGCTGTTGCAAGAATCAACAGTGGATAGTGAAACTGTATATTGAAAGCAAAACAAATGCATTGTTATAAATGCAAACCATGCACAGTCTTATGATTTTTCAATAAAAAATACTCTCTTTTTTAGTTTCGTAAATGTTAAAACATCTTTTCAAATATCATGGAGTACTACCAAAAAACAGAGACACTTGGATGCAGCTTAAAAACAACAAAAATACTGGTAATAAAGTTGACGTATGAAGAGATGGCTCTAATAGCACCACCCTCAAGTTAAGTGCAACAAACCTGTTTTTTATTGATCTTCTGGACCTTATCTTCTTGCCAGTCGCGGTACATACTAAAGAGATCCAATAGAACTTTTGGGTCTATGCAACCTATCACAAGCACATAAGTGTAGACATCATTGTTGGCCAAAAGCCACATTTTGTACCGAGGAGAGCAGAATAACATGATAATTACTACGTATCGTTTTGTGAAAGAGAAGAAATCAATTGAACCATTAAAACACTAGTTAACCACTAAAAATCATCTGTCAATAGTTTGTCTTCAACCCTGAACTCCTCGTTTTATACTCACTCTTCTTCATTTGAAAATATATTCTTTTTTCTCTATAAAAATTGAAGAATAAGTTCATATGCTTAAGAATGGAAAGAAATTGGGAAAGAACTATTTGAGGATTTTCAAACCGCAAGAGCTTAAAAATGCTTGGAAAACAAAACGAATCTAACAAAGTAGCTTTAACAAAGACTTTCGTTTTTTGGATAGCAAAAGAGACGCTTTAAATACCTGAATTCGAAGCAGATGGCGTCTTTCTCACCAAAATGTCCGTCAGACTAGTCTCCTGCGGCGGCGCCGTCAGGATTGGGCTGGACTGCGGCAAATACAAGGACGGGTGAATACGAACAACCATCTCTAGCTCACAAATCAAACCCGAAAACATAACGAAACCTCACAATTTGGAGGGAACTTAGCCTCTCCAGGATCGGATCTGCACCTTTTACCCGCTCCGAAACCGTTGTAATCTCATCTCCCGACCTCTGTATGATTTGTTTTGGTAAACGAAGATTACATGGAGAAGAGAAATCAAAATTTAATGGTGAACTCAGAGGGTTGAAATTTGAAGAAGAGCTACCTGTGAGCTTGAGAGAGCCGACTCCGATGCACCCATGGATGGGTTTCTTTGGACAACTACCGATCGACCAAGGCCTTGGTGACATAAACAAATTATTGGAAAGAATCCAAATGAAATCTGGGGCAAAAATGTTAATGGTACACCAATTTTTGTACCACATTTGTATCACATCCATCTCCATCAGACAAAAGCAAGAATAGAAAAAAAATTTAAAATATAAAAAGAAAGAAGAGTGCTAGGGGTATATCATTTGGGGTACCCCATTTGTACACCATCCACTTCTCCACCACCCATTTTTGTTTTATTTTTATTTTTTTTTTAATTTCTTGCCTTTTTGTGAGGACAAGGAAGGGGTGCGGGACAAATGGGGTACACATTTGGTGTACCCCTAGCATTTTTCTAAAAGAAATCTATGGCTATGATTGTTGGTGTACAAATAGGGTACACCAAATGGTGTACCCCTAACATTCCTCAATCTGGGGATGAAATGCCTTAGCCGGTGGGCATTGACCATTAGGAAGGCAAGAAAATGGAAATATGCTAACCATTAGGTCTCTATCAGATGCAGGTTCACCAATCTTTTTTTAGAAATAAAATACTTTTAAAACATAAAATCTAAAATAATGGACGAGCGAAGAGAGTGTGGGAATTGATTTATTACTTAATTACTTTTTAGCGTATAAGATGTTTATAAATTAAAATTTTTTTTTTGTAGATAAAATAACATAAATGATGTGGGTGTTTTTCTATGCTTATAAACTGGTCAAAATGGTTTATAAGCATTTTTAATTTATAAGTGAGCTTATGACATATTTTTGTATAAAACTATCACTTACCATTTATGAATATTTACAAATGACTTATCTAACATTTGAGTCATTTTACTTTTACGAAAGAATATTTGACTTATAAGAAACATACTCCGTATAAGTTAAAAATTGGTTATCAAAAACAAGTCAATAATCACCAATACGAAGAAACACCCCACATATATAAGTCATTTAGGGATATTAATAATAGGTGAGTAAAAATTTTGTAAGTAATCTTGTCAAAATGGAAAAATGAAAAAAACTGGATAAAAAAATAAGAAAGACTTACTTATTTTTCTAGCTTATAAGCACAAAAAAACACATCATCTAATTAATTATAAGTTAAAAACAGCTTATAAGAAGTTTTAAACAGCTTATAAGCACAAAATAACAACGACTTAATAATTCTAATATTTGATTACTCTTTATTTAATATATTTGATTATATAAGTTTAAAATATTAAAATTAATTTTTCTATTTAAAACATATAGAGTATATTTTAAGTTTTATAAAACTAAATTTGACAGTAATAAGTCTCTTATTTGCACATATATTATTGTCTTCTAATAGACTTGTTTACGTGTGTTGGTTTGAATGTTATTCAGAGTATGATTGTTCATCAAATATGTGATTTTAGACAGATTGTTAATTGGTTGACTTTAAAGCTTAAATTCAAAGGAAGGACTAAATTGCAGCTGAAATCACACAATGGGGGTGAATTTAAAATTTTCAAGAGTTTATTTTCTCCAAAATCAAGAGAGAAAAAGAACAGAATCTTACAATCCGAGCGTCGAGCAGCGCTGAGGCAATGTCTAATGTCCACCTTCGGCTGGCATGGCCTCCTGCGGATGAGCACCTACTACTTTAGATGAGCATGGTGACGACAAAGAAGAAAGACTAAAGAAGAAGTAAGACAGATGAAATATACCAAAATATGAGTTTTAGTTCTATGTTTTATTCACAAAATAGAAATTAAAATGTATATATACAATGTTAATCATGTCAAAATATAATACTAAAAAATATTGTAAGATTTTCATATACAATGTCTTATTATCACTATGTAACTTTCCATTTTGAAAATAAAAATATAAAGATTATATTTTGATATTTTCTTTATGTTTTACTTCGATTTAAGACAAGTTTTTATTGGATAAATATACTGGGATGAAAGGGAGAGCATATAGTATATGGAGTACAAATTAGATAAACAATATTCAAAAATATTTTTTAAAAAATAAATCTAAAAAAATATTTTTTATATTTATCTAAAATCATTTTTTTATTAATTGTCAAAGTCTTGTCAATTTTTACAATAAAAAATCAAAACTAGATAAATAATGTTTATCAAAGCTAGATAACCCCTAGCATTTTCCTTTGTATGTATGGCCGTGTTTGGAAAACAGCGTTTGGGATAGCTTTTGAGATCTTTGACTGACTTTGGCTTTTTTGACCAAGCGAACTGCCAAAACTAATGTTTGGCTAATTGCTTTTTCACTTGGCATTTTGATCCGAAAAGCCAAAATCTGAAATGCCAAGGGGAGTAGCATTTGGACTTGGCGGTTAGGAAAAATATTTTTTTAAAAATCATTTTTGTTGAAAGATATTTTATAATATATGTAGAAAATAAAAATAAAAATAAAAGTTAAAAAATTAAATACTAAAAAAATAAAATTTAAAATTTAAAATTTTCAAAAAATGAAATGATAAAAAACCAAAAATCATTAAAAATATTATATTTATAATTTATTATGAATTAAATGAAATTAAAATTTAATACTCCATATAGTAAAGATTTAATTTTTACATGTAAAAAAATGAAAAATAAATATCATGTGTCTATATATATATATATGAAAAATTATTTTAAAACAACTAATTTTGCCAAACATTTTTAACGATCAGCCAATTCATTCTGCCAGTCAAACCAGCTAAACTAAACAGCCATTCCCAACAGCTGGCACGAACTGCCAACCGCCAACAAACAACCGCTGACAGCCAACATCTAAAACATGGCCTATATGTCTCAATTTATCAACAAATTCCGCGCTCCCCTCTTACTATTTTGACCGAATTGGAACTCGGGACTTGTGTTTAGTGTTTCGTGGTCATCAGTGAGACACCGGGGTTCCTTGCATTTTTTATGTCGAATTACTGCAGTTTTGGTGTGGGGGAAAGGAAGCTTTGTTGGGGTTAAGCAGGAACATTCATTGGTTCTCGCCTTCTAGTCTCGCAAGGAGTGTGTAGTAGTCGCAGCGGATTCTCCTTCCAAATATCGGACCTTGAGATCAATTATTATCAGGTATTATTGCCTAATTTAGTTCAACCACTTATAAATTACGGAGTAATTAAATTCAACAGATGCTACTTTACTGATACTCCGTATCTAATAACAGCTGCAATTATTAGCTCCGTTCAGGATTCTTTAATTCATCTGTTTCTGTTAATGTTTCGTTATGCTTGAAATGGATCTCCATTTACTGAAGAATTGATTTCGTGCGTTTCTGAGATTGGGGATGTTTTCTGTATTGGTAAATATTGATTTTCTGGCGCAGTATGGAGGGAATACATGTTCTGATAAACAAAAGTTTTTTTTTTGAAAGTATAATGTGTTTTCTTTAATGAAAATATGTTTTTTGTATCTCTGCAAGTTCTTACTGTTGGGACCGGGCGGGTCCACACCCCAACCCCGTATTAGTATGATATTGTCCGTTCTCGATCAAGTCCTTACGGATTTGTTTTTGGACTTCTCCCAAAAGGCCTCATCCTAATGAGGTTGGGTAACCATATATATTCTGGTTCTCTCCTCTCTTTTCTTTGGGTGTGGGAATGGGGTGTCTTCCCAACAAACCTCCCCTTAACCTAGGACCACACACAACTCATGACCTTCTCTCCAGCGGCAATCCTTTTTGTTATCTGCCAACTTTTTGCACCGCCGCTACCACTCCGCGGGACATTTGGTCTTGGTCCTGCTGTTACATTGTCACACCGAGATTTTCTCACATTGCGCAGTCCGTTGTTCCTGCCCTCCAGTACCACATGTTGGGACCGCGCGTGCGCTCACCCCAACCCCGCATGAGTATGATATTGTCCGCTCTGGGTCAAGCCCTCACGGATTTGTTTTTGGACACTTCCCAAAAGGCCTCATCCTAATGGGGCCGGGTAACCATATATATTTTGGTTCTCTCCTCTATTTTCTTTCGGTATGGGAATGGGGTGTCTTCCCAACCCTTACAGCCCTACATGACTGCTTTTAGAGTTGTACGTGTGTGTTTCTTTCCTTTGATATTTAAAATTCTGATGGGTTGTCTTTTTTTGTTTGTTTGTTTGTTATGGTTTTCAATCAGCGCCATATTGGGTAAATGGATATGAGAGGTGGTGGTGGTAGTAGTGGTAACCCTCTAAGAAACTACAGGATTGGGAAAACTCTTGGCCATGGTGCATTTGGTAAGGTGAAAATTGCTGAACATTTGCTGACAGGACACAAAGTGGCTATCAAGATACTCAACCGCCGGAGAATGAGGAGCCCTGACATGGAGGAAAAACGTATGTAGCAAATGCTGTAAAATATAAGCATTTTCATGTTTTGACCATCACTTTCATATCTGTCCACAGTGCATTACTTGTAGATTTCTTGATTTTGTGTAGTACTAATTTTTTTATTATATCTTTCAGTAAGAAGGGAAACACAGATATGTAGATTATTTGTTCACCCGCATGTTATACGACTGTATGAGGTCATAGAAACACCAACAGACATATTTGTTGTCATGGAGTATGTGAAGTCCGGAGAGCTATTTGATTATATTGTGGAAAAGGGCAGGCTACAAGAGGATGAAGCTCGTAGTTTTTTTCAGCAGGTAGAGTACACTTTTATTTGATTTTCTTATTTACCACTAGTGAAAATGATGAAAAGGATGAGAGTGTTTCTTTTTCATTTAACTGTCATTGTCATTTCATTTAAAACAGATAATTTCTGGGGTAGAATACTGCCATATGAACAAAGTGGTTCACCGAGACCTCAAGCCTGAGAATCTTCTCTTGGATTCAAGGAGCAATGTGAAGATAGCTGATTTTGGTTTGAGCAATGTTATGCGAGATGGCCATTTTCTTAAGACAAGTTGTGGTAGCCCAAATTATGCTGCTCCGGAGGTGTCATATCTTTCAATGAGTACTGTGTAACATAATTTCCGACTTGCTGAATAAGGCATCTATTTTACACACTGAAATATTAATGCTGTAATTTTTATGCAGGTTGTTTCTGGTAGGCTTTATGCTGGCCCTGAAGTAGATGTCTGGAGTTGTGGTGTTATATTGTATGCTCTTCTTTGTGGTACTCTTCCTTTTGATGATGAGAACATTCCAAATCTCTTCAAGAAAATAAAGGCAAGAACAACGGATCTATTATTTTGCACTGTCTTAGTGTATCACATAGCTAATATTTGTTTGTGTTGTGAACACCATTGCCATTCAGGGTGGTTTATATACGCTTCCAAGTCATTTATCAGTTGGAGCTAGAGATTTAATACCACAAATGCTGGTTGTAGATCCATTGAAGCGAATAACTATACCTGGAATTCGTCAGCATCATTGGTTCAAGGCTCATCTTCCTCGCTATTTGGCTGTTCCTCCTCCTGATGCAGTGCAGCACTTGAAGAAGGTTTTCCCTCTTATTCATGATATTCTTGTGTTGATAATTCTAGTATACTTTTGCTAGTTCAACAATCTTCAATGTACCTCATTTTTTGTCTTCATATGTTTCTTACAAGTAAACAAATGATGCAAAACACTATCTTTATGAGCAAGTCAATGAAAGTTAAAAGATATGCTATAATGATGCTCTCTTTTATGTTCCAAGATTGAGAAAAATGATTATGTTTTCAAAAGGTTAGGCTAAGACACTACTTGGTCGTATCGAACCAAGATTGGAAATATTAGTTTATTTTTCATCTATTGAGCTTCTTTTTTCTCTTATTCTAACCTTATGCAGTTTGTTTTGATCATTTGTACCCTTTCTTCCTACAACTCTACAAGCTTAGGTTTTAACGTAAGGTCACTCACCCCCTTTGCAGATTGATGAGGAGATACTTCAAGAAGTAATTAGAAAGGGATTTGATAGGGGCCAACTACTCGCATCCTTGCAAAATAAAGAACAAAATGATGTATACTGCTGGAAGTACTTTCATTTTGCAATTTTAGATATGGGGTCATTAAATTTCATTGTATTTTGTTTCCATCAATATTAGTATGCTTTTCCATAGAATTCAACAATAATAACAATATAGAAAAGAGGAAACTGTGGACTGGCTGTGCAGCATCCTTTCCCACTTATTTTACCCTTGTACTTGGGTCTTGGGACACATGACTAAATCAGTCAGTTCTCTGTTTATTTTTTTTAGTTTCTGGCCATAAGTCTAGATGCATACAATCACTTGATATACAATTTTGAACATGATTTGGCTCATACCCACGGGCCATGACAAGCTTTAAGTATACCTACTTTCCCTCAGAGTCAATAATAGAAACTGATGGGAGGAAGAAATTGGTAGCTCTTCCTCTACAATTATACTTATCTGAGCTCATTGTCTGACTTTAATTTGTTCAGGGTACTGTTGCATACTATTTGCTGTATGATAGCCGATCCCTTGTTTCTGGCGGTTATCTTGGAGCTGAGTTCGTGGAATCAACGGTATGAATTTTCTGAAGTCCTAAGAACCATAGAGTTCATTGTTTGGCACAACATCAAATTTTTTTTGGTGCTTTCATCCTCTTTCATTTTAGTGTGAGGCCTGACTGGCCATCCTTCTCTACGTCAGTCCCATGTTTTGAATTTGTTATGGTATCCAATTTCTCTTTCTTCACAGAAATGAATTCAAACTGGAGTTTTACTAATTGTATATCTCCAGGAGGTATTTCCCACGGCATTGTTTGCGAATGTTGAATGTGAGATGTCGGTTGGGCATAGATTTCCTCACGACACATGCTTGAGACCCTCATTGTCAAGAGAGAAAAAGTGGCTTGTTGGACTTCAGGTTAGTAGTACTTAGTAGTCATTTTTAGTGAGGTTGGGTCATTGACCTTAAGCCTTGGTCCCCTCACGATTTGGGACTAGTGCGTTACATATATGCCTGCACAATTTTGCCTGCATTGGTTTTTAGCAAATACTTGGAAGGTACAATGAAAAAACAGTTTGGTGTTCATTTTTCAGCTTGCATGAGTATCACAAAATTTTAAGATTCATATGAGTAATTTTTTCTGTGCTAAAAATAAATGATTGCTTGCCAGTCCCCAGCAACTCCACAAGAGATAATGACTCAAGTTCTGGGTGCACTGCGAGAATTGAATGTCCGGTGGAAAAAAATTGGGCACTATAATATGAAGTGCTTGTGGTGTTACTCTCACAGTCCTATTCATAAGGCAAGCAACAATTGCATGAGTGATGACTGTATTGCTGTTGGTCAAACTGCTGTAAATGCAAAAGGTCTTCTATTGCCGCAAGTTGTGGTCAAGTTTGAAATCCAGGTATTCTATGAAATTTTTCTCAGTGAGCCATTTTTCACCAGCGACCACTCCACCCAACAAGCTGTCAAATATCATTTCTATAACCTATATATAGCATATCTTCTAATAGCTGCTACAGTTCACCGTTCACTTACAGAATCATACCCTTTTTCTATTGGGAAAATCACTATGTTGGTGCCTCAAATATTCATATTGTGCGATGTTGTCCATTGTTGCCAATTTCGTTGAATTCAATTCCTCAATTGTCTAAAAAGTTGTCTGTTCAGTCCTCCACACTAGTTATAACATCTCTACGAAGGAAATAATAGAGAACGATACACATGTTTCTATGATATTGTGAAAGATGTCCGAGTGGAATAATGACTCCGAAATTAGTATTTGAAGGCTTTATTGACAACTTTTGTAACATTTGAAGGGCTGAATTGCACTAAATTGACAATGACGGACTACATATCCATAGTCGAGAAAGATTGAGGGACCAAAATAATGGTTTTCCATTACTTAGAAATGAAACAGGTTTTTTCTATGTGTTAGTGATTGACTCAACAATATTAAATTTGAAAATGTACGATTCTTTAATGGTCTGTTTGGATCAATGCATTTCATTTTTAAATCTGGAATTACCTCATTCCCTTGTTAGGTAAGTTGTGGAATGCTGTATATGCATTTGGAATGAGACAAAATCTAAAGCATCTTTAAAACGACCAAGTCTGGATTTGTAAATGTTTTCAAAACTTAAGGAATTTAAAAAAATTAGAGTTCTTGAGGTTTTCCAAACAAGATCTGGGTTTCCAATTCTAAATATATGAAATATATCCTCCTATCCAAAGGCAATCTGCTGATTTGTATAGCTCTTCTATCTCATTTCTTTGTCTCACTTTAGATGTTTTTTCTCCTTCCCCTCTACCCTTTCTCTTTTTAGTAGTGATATGTCAAATTAGTTTGGGCTCCCAAATGATGTATACATTATATTTGATCATTTACACAAATGCTAATGTGGGGGACTTTTATGAAAACTGTTCCAGCTTTACAAAACCGAGGACGAGAAATACGTGCTTGATCTACAGAGACTTAGCGGCCCACAACTTGTGTTCCTCGATTTCTGTGCTGTTTTTATTTTCCATCTCAATGCCACTTAGTGTCAATGGCCGAAGCAAAGAGATATCCAGGGCGCGAAGCACAATGGTATGCCATGAAAATAAAGAGTGCATGTATATGTATATAAATACCTGAGGCCGTAGAGAGGCATTTCAGGAAGATTGTGATGAGAATGAAAAACTGATGTATCATTCATCATTTGTATATTGTCCATGTTTGCATGTATATTTTGTTATATATACTCTCTCCGTCCTAAAATTTTCTTCCCAGAGCACTATTCCAACTTTACGGGAATTTATATTTATTTGTGTTTTTTCATGGCCTATATGATAAAATAAAATATTCTTGTCACCACTTGTTTTGTTGAACTTTTGATGTAGTTTTTAAATATGTATGTTTTATTTTTTATTTCTATACCAATATTTAAATAAAAGAGATTGAAAAAATTTGGGATTTTTCTTCGTTTTGCGCAACGGGAAGAAAGATATAGGACGGAGGAAGTATAATTTTTTCGGACTTGAAGCAATGTCATGTATAAAATGGATTGTCTTCTCTGAGAAGTGAGATTGCATAAAACATTTAGACCTTCAATATTGATGCCATTTAACAAGCATGACCTGAACCTCTTATAGGGTTCTATTGGTAAAATTGATAGTTCTTAACCCGCCTAATCACTTTTGCTCCCCCCACCCGTCCCTTGTATCCCCTAACCCATCTCTCCTTTGGCTTAATTAAATGACCATTGTAGCCAATCCGCGAATGAGAGGGGGTGGGGATTTAAGGGGGTAAGAACTATTAATTTTACCAACGGAGCCCAGTATGAGATTTAGGTCATGCTATGATGTTAGAACTCAATGTCATGTGAACGGTGAAGTTGTTCGCATGAAAGTGTTACTCTGCTCCCTTTCTCTTTTTTTTCAAAAAAAAAAGCTTTTTTTACTTGTCACAAACAGAGACTTCAATTGATATTTTTTTCTTAAAATGTTAATTTTCATCATATCAAATGTTTTAAAATAAAAGAATATTATTGGGAACAAGTTAGACTGGTGTTTTGGCATGAGGCAACAAATGATCTTTGATTTAATGATTTTAAGGAATCACTAATTGCCAAGTGAGAGATACCCGTGTTTATTGGGGTACAACATTGAAGACGAAGAAGGTTGAATAACTATTAAAAAGTCATTTAGGATAAAAATTCAAAAGTCATCAATAAAATTGTCGGAGTAGAGGATGGAGAAGCTTGAGTAACTATTGATGGATCACAATATGGCACTCAAATCCTACATATATTATAAGTTAAAAAATAGTAAATGACGCCAATTTAAAAAGGTGTAAAAATTTATTAAAAAAACTTTTAATCATCCCACAAAAATTTCACTTTTGGGATAAACTTAATTAGAGATGTTATTTTGTTTTAAATAGGCTATTGTAACTAAAGTTGTGGCGGAGCTTGGCAATGTGGTGGAGTTGGTAGTGTGGCGGCGGCGGCGGTGGCAGTGTGGCGGCGATGGTGTTGGGAGTGTGGCGGCAGAGTTGATAATATGTGACAACGAAGGAGTAACTATTATCTCCAAGGGCAAATTGGAGAGTACAATAAATTTAGTCCTACCGAAGTCTTTTTTTAAAGGGTTTTATTTTGGTAACTCCTTTAGTCCTATTTGAGTTTCTTGAAAAAATTACATTAATTTTAGTTTCATGATCATTCAAACTAGCTAAAAGTAGTTAAATCATCGAAATTATAATGAAATGTCAAACATGCCATTTTTATCTCTATATGAAACAAAATTTCAAAATATACATAACAAAACCCAGAAAATTTGTAAAAAAAAACAACTTAACAAATGCTCCCCCTTAAGTTCTGCTATTAAAAAAAGTTCACACTTTTTTACAAGGATGTCACAAAAATTCCCACTTTTCTTTTTTTTTTCCTTTAAAAAAAAATAATATGAGGCTCAAAATAAGTTTATTACTCTCTCCGGCCTAGATCAAGCTCCAACAATCTCTCAACTCTCTTGGCCTTTGTTGGTCGTCATCATGCCACAAACAAAGCTCTCCAAACCCTCTCCTCGTAAGTATCCTTTCCATCCAAACACACCCCATTCGCCTCTTAGCTCTGCCGCCTTCATTAGTCGCCTCTACCAAGCGCCAAGTTACTACTCTCGTCGTAACATTATCATCAATGCCAATGATCGAGGAAGATGGCTTATAGAAATTTTGGAAGGAAGACAATGAAATGAGAATTCCAAAACTCTCTAACAATGCAAATAGAGAATAAAATGAGATGACAAATAGTGAGATAACGAAATGCGAGCACAATATTACAAAATTGTCACCTTACATTTGAGTGACTTACATTGTGTCATCTCACCGAAGTCAATCTCATGAAATGAAAAGTAAGATTTTAGAGATGGTGTGAAAGGAGTATACAAATGTAAAAATGACTTATAAAACATAATAATGCTATTATTTGAAAGAGCAAAAAAATAAAAATCTCATGACAAAACCAAAAATGAAAGAGTAAAGAATCTCATGAGACGAAGGAAGTATTTTAGATTGCTTTTTTAAGAATAGTCAGATTTGCAAGATGTCAAATTTGTGTGGTGGATCTTCACAAAATTGCTATGAAAAAAAAGGATTTGACGAAAATAAACCATAGCATAATATAAGGTACAAGTAATGTATAGAATTGGAGTAGTTTTTTTCAATGAAAATTGTTACTATTATTGTAGTATCTCAAATGAATATATTATGAGAATCCGAAAAGATAAATAAAATAAGAACATAGAACATGAAACTTAAATCTATCTTTTCATACCAACACAAGAGATAAAATAAGACAGTCGACCATTAAAAATTGTGTCTGAAGATGCTCAATACCCAATACCCAAACCTTATTAAACAGAGTGTTTAACCATGAATACCACTCTTTCCCAATTTAGATTTGCATGTTTTTATTTTTTTTATTTGTCCCAAAATTAATTTGCTTGTTTTCTTTTGTAGATAACAATGTGGCCTATAATTTGTGTCTCTCTACCATACATAAATATCAAGCTCACAAAGCAGTCTAGCCAAACGTGGCAAACCAATTTGAGACACAAGGGGTAACAAAATCTCCCATTATAACATTGAAATCTCATGTCCCCTTGGTTAGTAATAACTGTGATTCTGAGTTTCCATCCTCTTTACAATTTCAAGTACCAAAAAAGAAATAACAAAAAAAGGATGAAAAGAGAAGAGTGTTTAGGATCCACTAGTCCTTAAAAGTGGATCAAAGAATGTTTGATGTTCACAAGTGTTTTTGATGTTCGCAAGTGTTTTAATCATCGTATGTATTGGTGGAACTACAGGGCCATATGTTGATATAGTAATACATACTCTATGTACTTAACAGCCTTGTGCCTCCACCCTCATGAATATTAGTGCTCTGCTTATCCTCTGCAAAAACAAAAAATCATCTCGTTACGAATATATTTTTGAATTTACGAGAACTTAAATATACTCGTTATGAAATATCAGTAGAACCATCATTCATGGCGTGTCGTGAAATGGCTGAGCATGATTTGCCCATGAACAAGCAAAAAATACACTAACCTCTTTTGTGTCTCTTATCCGCAAAAGCTCTAATCTCTCTGCTGGCCTCTGATTTGCCACAGTCGCAAGCTGCATTCAGACAACAACCATAAGCTACAATTTTGTGTTCATACATTGTTTATTCGGCAAGGATCTTTTGACCGGTGAACCCAAGGTCATATTATGACCGGGGCACCCCTNCAAGGGCAGATCGGCGATCTAGGAGGGAAGGGGTGTAGGAACCATCAATTTAACCAACGCAGCACAGTAGGTGCCCCGGGTCATAATATGACCTTGATTTCCAAGGTCAAAAGAGCTATTGGGTTGTTTATTACGGAGTATATCAGAATATATACCCAGAAACTAAAGCGCTCGGGGTCTCGTGTTGATGGCATCATTCCTTCTGCTTTATAGAGTTCAGCAAGACGAGCGCGATCTGAAAACAAACTCTCAATTAGAGCGAGTAGAATCAAATAATATCCAAAAACATATTTGTGCTCAATGTAAACCAGACCATGCCCTCCATAGCCAATGAAGCTAAACAAGTCTTTTTTTTTTTCCAACATTTCTTGACAATGTTTTAGCTTTGAGCAAATAATGGACTAAATCAAAGTGGCACATTAGAATTCCCCAGCTTCTTACTCTCTAACAGAAGCAGACTCTCTGTTTAACAAGGATTATAGTATGTTTCTTGTTGAAAACCAAACCAAAGATCCCACGTATATCTCTCCAAATTAGGGTTTGAGATGGTGAGGTGTACACATGCCTTACCTCCTAGGAGTAGAAACGGAATTTCCAAGAAGACCCCAGGCTAAGAGAAATATATGGATGTTTTGAAAAATTTATGCCTGATGTATAATTCATAAGAACTTTGATGCCACGAAATGGCGTGAAGCAAACTGCTTTACATAGTCCTTTTTTTTTACTCAATTACCTCCTTCAGCGGCTTCTTTTGCACTCTTCAACCACTCTTGGGCATAAGCTGCTGACCTGTTAATCAACTCCTGTAACTATAAAATTTGATGAAGTAAACTCGATGTACAACTGAGATATAAGCAGAGTTGTATAGGACATGTATGTTGATGAAAAGCTCAGGTTCATTAACTGTAGAGAAGTATTATCTATGTAATTTCTAATCATGTTCCACAAAAAGATACTTGTCTATACACATATTTGTCCCAAAAAAGAATTCTGTTTCAACAAATAAAGCTATCTTCTGTGATTTCTACTGTTCAAAAAAAAGTACACCAAACAAGTTAAATGTGTTAAATTTAGTTAAACCAACTAATGACTTTAAACACATGGCTGTATTATATGTTTTGCAATAGGTTTACGTTCCTTATGGAAAAACATGACAAATAATATGACAAAGAAAAGCATGACCAACGAAGCAAAGGGAGAGAATAAGAGTCCCTCAAAATGGGGGTCACATTTGTAGAAAGAAGAGGTTCTTCCAAGATCCTCTCAACTTATTTAGATTCGTGACAATTTCAAATTAATCATAAAAGTTTGTTAGAGAAAATATAAAGAAATAAAGTTGCAGCTTGACTTAAGAATATTAAATGTGACATATATTTCATTATTTTGACTCAGAGAGAAGAGCATAACATAAATATTTTCAGTAGATGATTCTCAATTCTCAGTTGCAAAACAAGGTTAACATAAAGACATTTACTTCATGTCTCTCTATTGTCCCTTCTGCGGGACAATTGTCATGTACCCATTCCACTTCAGCTACTCGATACCTTCATGAACTCAAAGAGGCAAAGTGAAAACTCGTTAGTCATAACCATTGAAGAAGATGATCAATAGAAAAACATTAGAAAAATTGAAAGGCCATCAATGGTAAAACTAACCCATCTTGATCCCAGTTACGAACAAAGCGACATCTCCGACGGCTTTCAATCTGCATGCATTGCATCTCGTCAAAACATAAGGGGTAAAATGTAGCAGTGATGATAAGAAACAACAAGTTTCAGGAATAAAGAAACTTAAATGCAAGAAAACTGTTTCTTCCTTGTTACCTCAAAAACAAAAAGACAAAAAACATGTTTCCTCCTTATTAGCCAAGTTGAGACCTAAGAGGCTAATTAACAGATCATGACCACGCTTTTCAGACTTCCCTATACATCCTTATCAACATAAAATAGTCTTTTGCAACATAATGTCCACAATAAAATGAAATCCTTCCCAAAATCCTTTCAAACGAAAGGGGGAGCAGCAACGAACTAACACATAAAAGTATTTGCACTTACAAGACTCCTTATGATTCCAATGTTATGAGATTCCTTGATTTTACATTCCCAATGCACTCAAGACAGTTCATTATACAAGTTGGAAAAAATAGCAGATCAACATGAACCCTTCAACAAACTAGATCATGCTTTGACTAAAATATTTGATCCAGTCAAGGCAGACAAAATAGCAAGTAATGAAGTAAAAAATGAGAATTATATCAGCACCTCTAGAAAGAAGCGTCCATCCGGAAGTGGCTCACAACTGCACACAGATATGAAGATTGTCAGCTTCCATAAATAAGAACAACAAAATACAAACATTTTGAAATTCACAAAACACGCTCACACATCCACAGAAATATACTGGGAAACACATACTCTGTAATCTCTACTTCGCAACCATACTCAGCTATGGAACCTGTCGCAGAATCAATGATAACCTACATCGTTAACAGAATGCTTCAGTGTTAACTAATGTGTAACTGAAGCAACAACAATACCCTACAGAGAACATTTCGAGACAGATCTTATACCATTCCCATTCGGCGGTTTCCTTCCATAATCCTTCTCACCTGTTTGGAAAAAACATGGAAGTTCAGTAAAATATCTATATGACGGACTTATAATAACGTCCAAAAACTATAGAGAAAAAGATATGAAAAATGGCTGGTTTGAATGTCATCATCTGCAAGATGGACTTAATCACACATTTTTCAATGCATTAAGATGACAATCCTTACATCTATTAACTTATCTCAATTCTCATGACGAAAGAGATAAAATCACTCTTAGAAGAAATGGAAAAACAAAACAAAAAAAGAGACAGGTCTCATAAAATGCACAAATTCTTTACGTTATCTGTTGAGCACAGTTTGGTAGACAATCAACAACTATTTAACAGAGACATGACTTTTAAAAAAACATTTCTTTTGCATAAGTTTAAAAAATAACACAATACAACCACAATTTGTCTTTTGGGAACAGCACCTCTGCCTTTATAGGTAAGGGTACGGTCTGGCGGTCTGCTTAGACCTACTCGGGAATGCACTTGTGGTAAATTACTGGGTTGTTATTGTATATATGACTAGTGCCACCCAGGCATTCTGCAAATGTTACTCCATATCCATCAAGCCGATAACTGCTTACCACAACTTATCCAGCATTCCTTAATTGTATAAAATTGTAAAAGTGAAAGAGGCCTTGAAATACTTCACTTACCATAAGCCGATAACGTGGCTCAAAAATGTTGAGGTGAAACTTCTGGCATGGTAGAACAACATCCATTACAAAAAGAGGAAGCAAATCAACACCAGGATTTATCAAACTATCATTTTCTGCTTTCCTTTCAGTATATTCCTCAGGAAAATTCTTCTGGATAATGTTGTTCAATGTCACACTAAATACAACAAGATATAACAGTCTCAGCAATAGAAAAGCAGTTACATCACTTCATTTAGGTTCATGAAATTAAGCATGCTGGTTACTTAATGGGATGGACCATTTGAATCAGTGGGAAATCTGTAAGCTAATCACCTGATTGAGCATGTTCGTGGACTAATAAAAAGCACTGTGCGGCACAATGGACATCTGTTACCTAAGACATTTTAGTCACTATTATAGAAAAAGAGATAAATATAAATATACACACACGGCAACAAGTAGGAAGAAAGGAAGAGATAGGAAAAGAAAGAAAACTGGCATGACCCAAATGGTGAAGAAATAGAGATTATGTTTATAGTTACATCGATCCATTGATTGAAAGAGGCATGAGCGGCAAAATGAGTGCCCACATGGAGTTGTTACTGGTTCATACAATAACTTTAAGCAAAGAGTGCAATCAAAATCATCGCTTCGTTGTGGTCTTTCATGTCTTCTCCTTCCGATGATTAAATTGACAGATCTCTCTAACTCTTGAAGAGGTTTACTATGTAAAAGAAATAAAAAAATTTGCAACCTGTTAGTTTACTGCTAAAATTAAAATGAAGTTAATGATTAACAGGCATCATGTAGCCTACATTCTATGCTTAAACAAATGTTATGCAACATTACAGCCTTACCTTGAAGGATTTATATGAAGGCCTGAATAAATGACATCTTGGGCAAGGTCATATTTTTCTAACTGCCAATCATTTAAAAAAAATGGAGGCCATCACTCAGCAAAAAATGAAGTACTAAAAATCTTGAAAGTTGCAAGTACAAGAAGTGAAAGTGTGCAAGTAAAGTAAACATAAATAGTAATACATGCAGCAATATTATGCACATTACATATAATCAATTTAGTGGGAGTGGCACATGTGAAGGAAAAGTTACGAGAAGCTAAGCTTAGGTTGTTCAAACATATTAGGACTTTTTAGGAGTGCTGAAGCCTGTGTAAGGAGGTGCGAGAGGCTTCCGGTTTCGGGAGCGTGAAGTAGGAAGATGTAGACCTATGAAAGGTTCAAGAGAGTTGATTGGGAAAGACTTAAGAGTTTGGGACCTCACTGAGGATATGACTGTAGATTGGAATGCTGAAGGATCTAGGATCAGAGTAATTGAGTAGCCCAAGTAATTCGGTAGTCCTGGACTCCTACGAGCCTTAGGTTATATTTCTAAAAGACGTCTTTTTTCCTTAGGTTGTAGCTTGTGTCTGTGGAATATGGCCTATGGGTCATGTTGTTTGTGTTAGCATGTAGACTTTTTCTCTCTCTTTCTCTCTCTCTCTTTACCCATACTTTATTGGTTCTTTGTTTGTGCATGTGATGCGCCTGCAAGCTCTTTTGTATTTGAGTTGGGGGTAACAGTCTCTATTATCAAGAAGGGGTAAGGTTCGTCATTGTTGTTGTTGTGCATGTAATCAATTACCCTTATGACCATTAAATATTTAATGCTACAGAAGATGCAATGAGAATGCTACTTAGACCAATCCAAGTGGCATGCTCTTAGTCATGCTCATCGGGTTGAATAAAAAAGGAGACAAGATATATTGAAATAGTTGGCAAATATTTTCCAGATATGATTCTGCCCACAAATCATGGCATAAGTTAACTTGCAACCAGGATTCCTTCAACAGCATGCCAAGTCATGCACACTTAGGGTTCATTTCTTAATACATAACCTTTTTAATAGGATGAATGGTTTTTATTTAATTGGATCTTTCTCTTCCTATCATAATCATATGCTCACCAGAATTAGTGCATTTGCCTTCAATATGTAAGATTTTAGGGAATCATTCCTCAAAGACATCACTTTCTCAGAATCCTTTAGTGCAAGCTGAAACATCATGCATTAAAAGTTCAAAAAACACATGTATCCGAGATTAATGAAAATCCAAAACAAAAAAGAACAGCATAACAGACCGCAGAATATGTTGTAGGATCCAGCCCCCTGAGTGGACTATGTTCTGAATCCGATGAAGATCTATTCTTCAGAAACTGGCAAAACCTATAACATAATTGTATATTTGAATGAAGTAATTGCATCACTTCGAAATATAAACTTGTGAACAAAATATGGGATTAAAGTGCATATTAGGCAATTAGAATTGAACAAAGAATATTGAAAAACAAATGTACCTCAGGTATGAAGCACATCTGTTGCTGAGAATGATAAAATCATTTGGTTTAATATTATTAGCTTTAGAGTAACAATTGACTGCCTGGATAAAAGATAAAGAGGTGAGAAAAGTAGACCTGGAACAACTAGTGTATATAATGTGGATTCATCATAAGCAATTCAATTCACAAAAGATTTACCCAGATGGAAAGGATAATTACATGCCAGACTTGTGCTAACCATCAGAATAGGGTGTTGGGATTTAAGAACAAGCAGAGTAAACTACTACTACAGAAATAATTCCAATACATTCATGTCCTCAAAAACATATCATGCCTCCACTTTAAGTGTATCAATAAATTTTACTTCCCGTGGCAAGCTTTTAGAGTAACAAGACATACAACATAATAGTAATCATGACATGTATGTAAGAGTAGTTTTCATAACATATGCATGTTTCAATCATCACTTACTACATACTAAAAGATTCTCCTTCCATCCCATAAAAAGAGAGTCATTTCTCGAGTTTACAACTTTTCAATTTTGGTGACATATAAATAGAATTAGTCATCAAATATAGTTATTTTCCCATTTATGTTAGTTTAACTTTATCAAGGCTAATAAACTTATTTGACATACTTTTTTCATTTTAAACCATTTGATATAATACTCTTATTGTACAATAAAGATGACTCTTTTATGGGATGGGGGGAGTCCTAGATTAAAACTAAACGGAGAAAAATATAGAGACAACAAATGAGCAAACCAACTTGACACCAAGGTTACAATCCAAATCCTATAACATTATCTTATTCCTTCATTTTGTGTTCATTTTTACTAAGGTGTACTACACAGAGCAGTTCCGGTCTCTATGGAGTCTCCAGTAAAATAGAGAAACAAATTCAGGGGGCTTTGAACAATTGAACTACAAATGAAGTTATGTTTTCTAACTACATGCATATGGTATGATGCAAAATAAACCTTGAATGGATCATCAACATGGGCACAGAGAGCACAAACCAAGATTATACACAATTTGCTTAAGAAGAGTACTTGATCAGAATACACACACAAATACAGAGAGATCAATCTACCTCATCGAGTCTGTTCTCCTGGAAGGCGGATTTCCCCATCCGCATAAGATCATAGAGAAGGCGAAATCGGTCCCAAGATATGGACTGCTCTCCTTCATTCGCCTGCATTCAAACGAAACCAATATCTCCAATTCTCTTCACACAACCAATAGTCCCAAACTCACACTAAGAGAGATAAAGAGAGGGAGAAAATCAACTCACCCATGGAAAATCCTCGACATCGTCAATTCCTTCCAAGCTCGGCTCCGGAGACGGCGACGGCGAAGCCACTCCGCGCATCCTCGCAGGCAGGTATGAAGTGCAGAGCAGTAGAAGATAGTGCTTAACTTGGAGGAATAGAAGAAGAAGAAGAAGGGATTAAACGGCAGTGATCGGGAGGCAGCGGCAAACGTGTGTTCTTCTGTATCCTTCGTTAACAAACGGACCTCGTTCGTTTACGTGGGCTCACCCACACCCCCCCTCTTCATAAGTTTTGTAGACGATGACGCTGTGTATGTGTTGCCAGCCCCCGTGTCTAGGCTAGTGGAGAAGACCCCGACTGATAGCCTGATAGGCATATTTGATGGGGAGTACTTTTGTGGGACCGATCTTCATAGGACTCGTCTCTGACTTGTTTTTACAATAAACAGGCCGAAATGAGGTACTTTGTTCAAAAAAATATTTAAAATCGACCATAACCTGACTTGTTTCTAATGGTTCGACCATAAGTTTGATGAAAATACTAAAATGCTATATTGATTATACTTTGAATCTTTAATACTTTGATTTCTATATTTATAATACAATTAAATTGATTATACTTTGAATCTTTAATACTTTGATATTTATATTTATAATTTAATTAAATCAAAGGAAATAGGCCGATTTGGGTCTACTTGTTTCTAAATATTAGGAACCGATCCGACTTGTTTTGCTAAAGGACCCGCCCCAGACCGACTTGTTTTACATGATATCGGAATCATATGTAATTGTTTGATTTGGTTGGAATTGGATTTGGGACTCGGAAATAGTGTTGGATGGTGGAAAAACTGCGTTGCACCAAGTTGCAATCGCGGTATCTCGGTACCGGGTGGCAATACCTAGGTACCGTTCCCTAGTAGCGTGACATGTACCGCTTAACAGTAACAGTTTGTTCCTGAAACATTTAAATGCCGAGGATGATTGTGATTGTTCTGTTTTGATCATATCCAACCTAGACTATGTGTGTTACGTGAGGGTAGGTCTGGGTGTTAATATCCAATACTAAATCGTTACTCGTTATGGTTGAGATTGTTCTGTATTGATCCAACACGTATATTATTTTATGAACTATCACCATGCGTGAACTCAGCGGTAAGAGCGTGCTGGTCCAACACACTAAAGTACGGGTTATGTGGTGTTGATCCAACAATGTGAATGCAGTAAGTCTGCCTAGAGGAACTCTAGAACTGACTCATTATTAAAATAGTTGAAAGTAAGTCATGTGGATCATGTTGGGCCCAATGGCTAACTAGGTAAAAACATACATACGAGTATCCTTGAACTTCTTGGTAATCCATCAGGTGGGGATTCCACCCATCCAATGGAAAACTCCTTCGTTGGTCGAGCATGACCCGCTAATCTAGTGGGAATAATCATGACTTCAAAATAAAGTAGTAGTCTTTAGTCTAGGGCATATTGTAAGAACAGGTTTTTAGTGATCCACCAACCTTGAAGAATCCACAGGTTTGGTGAGAATGGAACTGGGCAAGTGCCAGATAAATTTTATGTGGAAATCATATGTGTGATATGTACGTTGTTTGCATGATGTCACATGAATGTTATAAATTATGGGTTCGCTTGATTGCTTACTCTAACATTAGACATTTCTTTCTCAGCGTCATTGTTGGGTGTGTAGTTTTGTTTGTTTACTACAAGTAGGTAATCAAGGTCATAATGAACCTAGAGCCAATCCCGTGACAATGAGGAGGAGGAGGAGATGTGAGTTGATTTTGTAATATCCTAATTTGAAAAATGAATGAATAGGGAAAGAAAAGGGTCAAAAGGGTTGATAGTGCTACGCATACTAACAAGGTAAACCTTCTTTTCGAGAGCTCATCACCTAGAAACTCCAAAGTTAAGCGTGCTTGACTTTGAGCAATTTTAGGATGGGTGACCCCTGGGAAAATTCTTGGGTGCGCACGAGTGAGGACAAAGTGCGCGGGAAAGACTTGTGTTAGTTTGTGTGGCCAGTCTATAATCCAATGAGCGAACACTTACACCAGGGTGGGGGCCGTGACGTTACTGATTTAATTGAGGACTTAGATTTAATTCTTATTTCTAAATAACTTATTATATTTTTTGTCATGAGTCCCAAGTTGTGTTTGGTTGTATAGTTAAGCTTCCCCACTATTGAATTTATTCTGATGATGGATTTTCTTGTATGAACTATTTGGATATTTTAAATTGTTTTGAAAATACTATGTGTTTGCATACCAGATTAGTGGTAACTGGTAACCCGGTTTGCTAACTTGTGTATTCGGGTTATGCAGGTTGGGGTGTAACAAAGGAACTCTAATACTTGACATGAATGGAATAGAGGTAAGTTATGTCATAAGTATAGAAAGGTTAGAGTCATGTGGTATCAGCGAGGTCCAATGGCTATTCGGGTACAAACATGCGCATGAGGATCTATGAGCTATTGTTCTGAAGGGGACAAAGATCTCACCCACCCAACGAGGAATTTCCGAGTCGGTTGAGTTTAACCTTCTTTCTAAAGGAGACGGTCATGACTCCAATAAGCAAGTCAGAGTTTGTATAAGCTTTATCCTAGAATAGGTTATGAGCCAAGTCTGTAAGTTAGATGGCCGAATTAGTGAGAGCATAATATCTTGCATTTTTATAATGTTTATGGATTGAATTGTTATGTTGACATTCGTGATGTACTTGTGTGCATGATATTGTATGATATTATGAACTAGTGAGGTCATCTATAATGTATAATTGAATGTTAGATATTTTTTCACTTAGCTTCAATGCTGAGTGTGTAGTGTTTGTTCTTTTGCTACACGTAGGTAATCAATATCATGATGAACCTGGAACTAATCCCGGAGGGTGATGAGGCAGAGGAGATGTGCGTGGATGCATTTGAAGATTTTGAATAATTAGTTATTATTTAAAGCACATATTATTTTTACGGGTTTGATTTCCAAGTTGTTTAAGATTTTATTAAAGGCTTTTGCAATGTTTTCATTTAATCTGATGGATATTTAAGTTTGAATTAAATGTTTTTAAAATTGTTCTAAATTTAAGTTGTGTTTAAATACTAATTTAGTAGCAATCTGGTTTGCTGATCCATGTATTCATATTTTTTTTGATGAAAATGTAAATAGAATAAAGAAGTAGAATATACAAATAGAACGGGCATACCCGAGCGTGGAAATGACAACAAGTCAATTCTGAACAAAGACAAAATGGCTACATCACCAAATGTCCAACAAGCAACAACACAATCAAACATAAAGCAAGGAACACACGCCAACATAAACACCAAGAACAACAATAACATACATCAAAAGGGGAGGGAATACGTATGCCAGAGTCTCCCCAAAATGGAATAGACCATCACTTTGATTTTAAAAATCATACCCTCAACATGAATAGGTTCTTGATCGAAAAGGGTAGCATTACGTTGTTTCCAAATCTGGAAAACAGTACATGCCAGGCCAATACTCCTAGCCTTCTTAAGAACAGCATCACCTCTTCGAAAGGTCTTCATCCAACGAACAGCTCTATCAAGAGTGCTTAGGTGCCCATCAATCCGTAACCACTGCTTAATGGCCTCCCAAACCTGCTTTGAGATTACACACCCAAAAAACAAATGATCAATGTCCTCAAGGGTATCCCCACAGAGGGTACACTCCATAGGCAGGCCCAGAAATTCCAAATTTGATTTAGTGGGCAGCCTCCTCCTAAATACTAGCCACATCGTAAAGGAGCATTTAGGAGGAATAGTCGAGTGCCAAATAAAAGCCATCCAAGGCTTGGGGTTGGCCTTCACCCTAAGCAAATCATACACCTTGCTCGGAACAAGGTTATC